GGCCGGCGCCGGGCTGAAGAAGGGGTGCCTCTTCTGCAGATGCTGCGGAGTCCTCGTCCGCCCCGCTGCTCGACAGGGACTCGCTGCAGCTGCCCGAAGGTAGGGGCCCGGCGCTGCCTGCGCCCCCCGCCGCGCCCAGCCGCGGCCGAGCCGCGCTCAGCCCTCAGCCCGCCCTGTCCCCCGCAGGGCTGTCGGTGCGGCGGGTGGCGCACGGGGACGTGTCTCAGCTCGGAGTCTTCTGCACGGACCCCATCCCCAAAGGAGTCCGCTTCGGCCCTTTCCAAGGCAAAGTGGTCAACACCAGCGAGATCAAGACTTACGACGACAACTCGCTGATGTGGGAGGTAGTGGAGGCACGGCCGGGCTCCCCCTGCACCCCCTAAACGGGGCCGGGGCGAGGCTTTCCCCCGCCCCTCTCCCGTAGCCTGCAAGAGGGGCTCGGCCCAGTGCGGGTGGTGGGATCGGTGCGAGCGGGACGTGTGCGGGAAGGGTCGGTCAAACCTGATCCGGCTCTCGCCGCTCTCCAGATCTTTGAATACGGGCGCCTGAGCCACTTCATAGACGGGAAGGGCACCTCTGGCAACTGGATGTCCCTGGTGAACTGTGCCAGGTTCCCCGAGGAGCAGAATTTGACGGCTATCCAGTGCCAGGGACAAATCTTCTACGAGAGCTGCAAGGAAATCTTACCGAAGCAGGAGCTGCTGGTGTGGTACGGCGATTGCTACGTGCAGTTCCTGGGCATCCCCATCAGCCTGAAGGGCATGCCGGAGGGGAAGAGACCCCCGCAGCATCCCGAAGGTGAGCCTGCCAGCGACCCCTCGAGGGGCACTGCCCCTTATTCCTACGGACCTGTGTCTGGCCGGGATTAGTTTCGCATTAAGGGAGGTAAAGGAACTCGGGCATCACCTTTTCCCGGCTGTATTTTACTTTGAACGTTTCCCAGTCCCTGCGGCGAGCCGGTGGCGGGGTGACCGGCCCCGCCGCGGGGATGCTGTGGGGTGGCGGTGGCCCCGCAGCCCCGGTCCCACGGGTCTGCCCGCCCTCCCGGGGAGCCGGCCCTCGCCCTCCCCTTCCCTTGCAGCCTCCGGCACCCCAAAGAGCAGCTTCCCCTCGGCACCGGGGAGCCCGGGGATCGCACCGAGGGCTGCTGCCAGCTCGGAGCAAGAGGCCCCCCTTTCTGCCCCGGCAGCTTGCTCCTAGTTCGCGTTTCCTCGGGGAGTTAAAAGTGTTCATCTGGCGATTGTAAAACATCTGGTGGCGCTGGGCTGAGCCTGCCTCGGCTCCGCAGCGCCGTTGTTCGAGGGGGGGGTCCCGTTTTGGGAGGAGAGGGGCTTTTGGGGGGCACTCCTGGTTTGGTCCTGCTTTATCCTACGATTGCACACTCTTGATTTAATGACATTTTTCGTGCAATTAACACGCTCAGTAAATGGGGCAGGCTGCAGTCGTTCCGATCCGATAACGCTGATACTGCTTGCAGAAGAAATGCCAAATGCAGTTACGCCGGGAGCAGTTTTCTGCTTATAATGTGCAGAAAGTATGACGTTCTTAGAAGCAAAACTTACGTGTGGAGAAAACAGATTTGTGCCAATGCAGGGAAAGCTGGAGCGGGCGAGGGATGGGTCGGCCGGGTGCGGCAGTTAAGGGAGAGAAGCAAACTGGCATGGAAATTTGGCATGGACATTTTTGTAGCTGTTGTCTTCAGGTGCCTGGTTCAGATAGCTGGTAAATTGTTCATTTCATTTTAAGGCTTAAGCCAAAGTTGCTTTTATTAAAGGCAGAAAAGGATGTGTAAACGTTTGAAAGATTTCCTGTGTTGTTCCTAAATTCAGCGGTTAAGAACAGTTTGAAATACAAAAGAAAACCAAATAAACGTGCTCTTGTTCGATAGCATTTTGAAAACGATAGAAAAGGCGTGCAAATTTATTTTTCTGTTTGGGATGGGAGGTAAAATTTACGGACAATATTGGTAAGAAATCCCTGGCAATGTTTCCGTGTGGGGAGACGCTTTTATGTGGGACTCTGCATTGGTTTTTCACATATTCGCTCGCTGTTTATAGGGATACAAGGATGAAATCCTGTCTTCGCTGAAGTCAGTAGCTAAACCCAGTAATTTTATCAGGCTGTGGACTGTAGTTTGTTCCCCTCCGTTAAAAAGGCAATAGAAAGGCAAGTGGAGCGGTGCGTATGCTTAAGAGATCCGGCGTGTATTTTGCTGATGATATTGCCAGAATCCCTTTACCGTTATTACCCTCCCGGAGACTTAAAATTCCCAGTTGGGTACCAGCTCTGACAAGGAAGCAGATTTGAAATGAGCCCCATTTGCCGTGGTGTAACGGGGAGGTGGCACTTTCCCTTCTGCTGTACAGAAGCCGGGGAGAGCTTTAAGTGTGAGCGCTGCGGCAAGGTTTTTGCCTACAAATACTACCGGGACAAGCACCTCAAGTACACTCGCTGCGTGGACCAGGGGGACCGCAAATTTCCTTGTCACCTTTGTAACCGATCCTTTGAAAAAAGAGACAGGCTGAGGATCCACGTTCTCCACGTTCACGAAAAGCACAGACCTCACAAGGTGAGCCTGCTCCTGGGTCTCTCCGCAGTTACTGGCTCTTCTGGGGGGACTAATTAAGGAGTCCTTTTTTGGCCGAGGTAAGATGCTGATCTTGTTCCCCCTCCTCCAGTTTTCCCTGGCGGGACCGTTCTGCCTGTAAAGGAAGAGTTTGCCTTGTGCAGCAGAGCTTAGTTGAAGAAATTTAATGGATTTGTATTGGGGAAAATAAACCCCACAGTCTCAGTGAGAGTTTGAAAAAAACCCCAATACTTCTCCTGGGCTTTTTGGATGTTTGCATGTGCAGTTTGCTACTTTTCTTACACGGTGTGGGGCTAAATTGTGTATGAAGGTGCTCCACTTGTTCAGGATCAGGAGAGACGATGTCTCATGGCCCTCACTCCTCCCCTTCAGTCTGAGAACCGACAGACATCTGTGTCTGTTGGACACAACTGGAGTTACAAGTTTTACATTCAACATGGAGCAGATTTTCAACTGGTGGAAGCAAATCCTTGCTGAGCTACTTGCCTCATCTCCACTAAACACCTCTCTGTAGCACCGTTCCTGGTTTTCTCCAGGAACATTGGGGGTGGAAAACTGGACTTTTACTAAAGGCTTGGGAAGGGCAAGTTCCAGCGCTTCAAATGGCGCAGTTAAATCAGTCCTGAAAATCCTCCAAACACCTCTTTTATAGATAGTTCTGGAATAATGTGAATTTTTCAGGAAAAGCTTTTATAACTAAATCAGCAATATTACAATGTCAGAATATCACACTGATTTAGTAACAGATGAAAAATATAATTCTGTTAAATATGAAGTATTAAATATCATGTAGTTCTTACCCTTTTCCTTTTCCTTTTCCTTTCCTTTTCCTTTCCTATTCCATTCTATTCCATTCCATTTTTTGGAATGCGTATGAAAGAAACACTTTAGAACAGCAGGAAGACAAACTTCTGAATATACTGCATTTATATGAGAACAGATCAACTCAAAAAGCAAAGATGGAAAATGTGTCAGTAAAAAGAAATTACCTTCTTTCAAAACCAGTCATAGCTTAGCTTATTTTCAACTTATGAAAGATAATTTCTTTCAAATTACTGTAGGGGGGAAATTATTTTGGGGCTCATACAGATTGCACTGAATCAGTGCAAGTCTCTCAAATGACTTCAGCCCCCTCTGAATTGGGTTTTGTCTTGTCGCTGCCGGCCACAGGGCACACGCCACGCTGCGAAGACGGCAGGTCCTTGGCTCGGAGGACGAAGTGCTGCTTGTTTCACTCCTCTAAGGAGAGGCACTTCTGACAGATCAAGCTGTAGGCTAAGTGCTGTGACTGACTCATTGTTTCTGCAAAATGGTTACTATTTTAAAAGGTCCCCTTAAATATTTTTTTTAGGAAGCTTATCTTATTTGTTGAGCAAAAATTCAAAATAGCAACTAGAGCTTCATTTGCATTTTGAAGAAAAAGGGATGATTTTACAGAAATATTCAGGTATTGATTACTGAAAGTCAATATTTTCTGTTAATGTTTTGAAGAAAGACGCTTTTTAATGAAACATTTTTAACATGCGCACAAAAAAACTTTGAAATTTTGCGTTATTTTCCTTTTGTTAAAAAAAAATCTGTTCTTAAAACCAGATTGAAATCCTGACTGTATTTCAAATTGTTACTGCTTAAATTGCTACTGTGTTTGTATATACATAAAAAAATAAATATCTGTATATAGATAAATATATGTATATACATAAATATATACATAAATATATGTAGGAAATACATGCACACATCATCCACGTACCTAATTTTTCTTTTTAGCTATGCTGTTGTGTGCTTCTTTTAAACTTTATCCTTTTTTTTTTCCCAGTGCTCAGTGTGTGGGAAGAGCTTTTCTCAGTCCTCCAGCCTGAACAAACACATGAGGGTTCACTCTGGGGAGCGCCCCTACAAATGTGTCTACTGCAACAAGGTAAGGCAAAGCCCCGTCCCCTCCCTCCGTCTGTCCTCTGCTGCGCTCAGCATTACACCGCACCTGGGAGGGTGGCTCTTGCCATGCTGCCATTTTCTTTGTTCAATTTTTCTGTTTCTTTTCTGTTTTCTTTCAAGAAAATGCCTTCTATTTAAAGTTGATAACCAGATAAGTGAGTATATATTCTGGGCACAGTTGTGAGTTGAAGTGACAGGGCTAGCTGAGACTGAAGAAACAGGGTCTGGTCTCCATCTGATGTGGAATTTGTGTTTCATAGAATCACAGAATCATAGAATAGTTTGGGTTGAAAGGGACCTCTAAAGGTCATCTAGTCCAACCCCCCTGCCGTGGGCAGGGACGTCTTCAACTAGATCAGGTTGCTCAGAGCCCCGTCCAACCTGACCTTGAATGTTTCCAGGGACGGGGCATCCCCCACCTCTGGTTTCATCTCAGCTCAGAGAACTGTTGTGGGGATAAGGTCTAGGAAAGCTTGAGAGCATTTCAAATATCATCCAAGGCATGTGGCTAGATCCAATATTCCCCCTTTTCATCAGATAGGTAGTTTTTGATATTACTGACGCTGCTTCTGGAGTGCGGTGAACAGATTTGGCCCATAAGCTGAACCTGCACAGTATGACTGTGCATGCTTACCTTGAAGTAACGGGGCAATCGATGTGCAACCGGGCATGGAGGCTTCATCTGAAAAAGAACATGAATAGAGCCGTACAGCACTGGTCAAAAATGTGCTCAGCTATTACTACGCTTCACAGCAGGGGTGATTCAGGTGAGCTCTCCCTGTGAGACCAGTGACAGCTCTCCCAGCAGACGGAGGGTGGATGTGCAGGCTGCTGCTGGATGAATATCGGTAGGGCTCCAGGTGCTATGGAGTGTCCATGCAATGCATGGACAGTAAGCATGTAGTAAGGTCCTCCTGACTTTGGAGAAGCGCCGTCAGCATGTAGTAAGGTCCTCCTGACTTTGGAGAGAGAGAAGTTTTGTTCATGACTGGCTGGACTAACACAGAGCTGAAGTGTCCTGTAGTAAAAAACCTTAGAAGAAGCTCCTTTTGGCTATTATGTTTTTTTTCTCTCCCAGACATCCTGAACACTTGTAGGCAGAGTTTAGGATGAAGTGTCATCCTTTAATCTTCCGATCACAGGAAGAGATGGCAGAGCTTTACAGGTTGCTCTGTGAACAGATCTCTAGGACGCGTGGGACCCTTGACCAGCCCTCAGCCGTTCTGGTAGGACTGTTGCAGATTGGATGGCATTAAACCATTAGTCCTCAGGCTGCAGGATGCAGCTATCCTGGGACACAGCCATCATTTCTGTGGCTGGGAAACCAGGGACTATTTTAAAGCATCCTCACCTGCTCCTCCTACACAGTCACAACTCCTCTTTGCCTCTTCTACCTCTAATGGTGGCTGTGCTCCGGGGCACAGCTTTCCCTGCCTCTTTGCTCGCTGTGTCACTGACATCGTGAGATTAAAGCAAAAGTGATGGGCCAAGATCACCATTCTGACCCTCCAACACACTTTGGCCCTGTTGATAAACATCTCCCCTGGATTGAGGCAGAGACAGAGATCTCTATAGGGATCTCAGATCTGTTTGTGCTCTAAGGTTCCTAGTGAAAAGGTATCATCTGAGATGTATTGCTCTTTGCTGTAAAAACTTACTTGTGATGGTTCAGCAACATAACGGTACTAAAGAGGATATTTTTTTTTTGTGTGGTCTGCAAATAGCGAAGGGCCTGAAAGTGTCTCTCCTGAGAAAAGAAAAAACAGGGAAAACGGGGGCTACTTTGCAACATTCCTGCTCAAGTCTTGGTGGGAGGGTTTTCTCCCCAAATGCAGGAGGAGTCTTTATGAGGGGGACAAAGTGTGATTGTGCTCATTTTGCTACTCATGAGGGGGGAAAACGGGCTGGAATGTCTGACTGAAGGAAGAGCAGAGTATGATGGAAGGGGAAAATGAAACCTGAAAAGATGGATGCTGGACTGACTGCATGGATGAATTCTGGCAGCTGAATCCCGAGCCAGTGTATGTAAGCGTGAAAGGGTTTAACTCTGAAAATAAACCTGCATTATGTCTTCCAAACATAAAGGAGCTGCAAAGCTAATTAGGACAGTATTGACTTCTTATCCTTTGACATATAGAAGATATTTACTGGTGTCTCTGGTCAGAAATCTTTCTCTGAGCTTCATCTAACTCCATGGACTCAGCCATATCTGTTTGGCTGAGGCGATAGCTGTTGGCTTCTGGTTCCTCGTTGCTGGGAGTTTCTGTTTTTTCTCCAGGTATCTGAGGATGTGAGCTATTTGAGGACTACAGAGCACAGGGCTTCTGATGGGGTCTGGCTTAGCTAAACCTGGGGATTATATATGTGAAACTAGATCACTTTCAACTCCTCCCCCCTTTCCGATCCCTGCCCTTTCAGGCATTCACGGCATCCAGCATCCTGCGCACTCACATCCGCCAGCACTCGGGGGAGAAGCCCTTCAAGTGCAAGCACTGCGGCAAAGCCTTTGCCTCGCATGCAGCCCACGACAGCCACGTGCGCCGCACGCACAGCAAGGAGAAGGGCTGCACTTGCTCGGTGTGCGGCCAGCACTTCCCGGAGCAGGAGGATTACCACTTCCACATGAAGATTCACGCCGCTCATTAGTCAAGAGCCCCACAGACGTGTCCTGGACCAGCTTCGCGTGTGTATCGGTCTATGTGCATGTGTTTGTGCATGGTTGTGTGCAGGCTGCAGGAGGTGACATTTAACCTCGCAGTGACTCTGTGGGTACGTCCAGTCTCTGGACCCTGGGCATATTTCTGAGTGCAGGGGACAGGAGTTTCTCGCCTGGGTACCCTGATGCCACACTGGGGTGAAGTCCAACATGTGCTACTCCACCTTTCCCTTCCTCTCCTCCCATACCCTAATTTCCACAAAAGGGAAACACAGGCAGGAGGGAACTTTACCTCCCATGAAGCTTTTGTGCACAAATATCACTGTTGAGGAGTGTTTCCGTGCCTCTAATTCACCATGTCTATGGACTGCCTGGTGCTGTCCATACCAAAGCTTGTGTGTGAGACGTTTTTATCGAGTCCATTTCTCAAAGCCCATTTAACCTGTTTGTTTTGTTTGGGTGCATGACCAGGTATGGTGTCTACTTCCCCTTAACGTGTATGTCTTTTAATGACTCTCTATTTGAATGTGAACTGCCTTGGAGACACTGACTGGTGGACCAGCGTAGGAGTATTTAAATTCCATCATTCAGCTGCCGAGCCACGGTGAGTTCCAGGGCAGTGAGACCGACTCTTCCAGAGGATGCTGGACCCCAGATAGCCCAGGGGGAGAGGGGCAGGGTGTAACGAAATAGCCGCAGGCCTAGCAGAGATATTGGAGGTGGGCTCTGCCTTCTCACAGTTCAGAGGACCAAACATGAAGATGTTCCCAAGCACCAGTGAGCTCTTAGGTGGGTTGCTAACAGCCAAGTGGCCTCGTAGAGGCGTTGCGATGTGGGCTCAGCACAGGTCAGGAGCAGGCACGATCCCACCATTGGGCTTTTCTGTCCTGTAAATATCTCTTTTCTAGAAATTTGCCACTACTGGGAGCCCTGGCCAGGTGGGCCTTCCGCGGTGAGTCCTGACATGAAGGCTGGGCTCCTCCAGTTCCTCCTGCTGGCTCTACGTAGGACGGCTGCCGTAGTGTCGCTCCTGAATGCTTTTAAAAATGCACCATATACTAGTTCTCAAGGCACAAAGGTTTTAAAATCGGCTCCGTGATACCTCTGCTTAGGTAGGTAGGGGGAAGAGGGAAACCCTTCTATCCTAAATTTAAGATTTGAGGTGTAGGATAGACAATGCCAGGACTTCTCAGCCCTTAAAGATCTGCTCCCAGATCCCTCCCCAGCCTGTGGGACTGCCTAAGCTTCCATGGGAGGACTGGAGGGTTTCACCCTCCATTTCTCACTAGCCATGCAAGCAAGTCAGGAGCGATTTGTGCAGGTTTTCTGTTGATTTCTTTTTAGCAAAAGGGAAGTATTTGCTCATAAAAATGGTTTTATTTTTTTTCTATAGAAAGAGCTGCTCATTTAGCTATGGGTGAGAAGATGTACTCTGGGATCCTTTTCTTGAAAGCTGGTTTTGTTTCTTTTGCACTCTGACTTGGAGAAGGACTCAGAATAACACCTCAGACATCCTATCCTTTCATACCAACAAACTTTGGCCCAGATCAGAATTGTCTCAAGTGCATATTACAGCAGATAAAGGAATTCCAGTGTAAAATCCTAGGTGATTAGACCCTGATTTTTGCAAAGCGTTTTCAAAATCATTAATGAACAGCATTTCCTGGCAATGTGAAATCTCATCTAGATGGAGGCTTAGCAAAAAGCCTGTGCTGAAGGGCCACCGAGTGTAGGGAGTGCTGTAACTGGTGCAGAAGCCACCTATTTATTACTGAGTGGCCAGCGCGATGGGGAGGGGGCTGTGCCTCTGAGAGGGGGTCCCTGTGTCGATGGGGCTGTGTGTTGCATCCAGGAGGGATAATGGAAGCCCTTGCTGGACCTGGTTGATTAACACAGACAATTTGATGTTACTGGGATGATGAGGTTCTCTTAATATCCTAGATCAGCTAGGATTAACAAGGACTTTGCACATAAGTATCGGAGATAAAAGTTTTTATTTTGTGCCAACCTTAACAATCTTTAAATACAGCCTAGAACTAGAAAAAATGTTACCTGCACATTTAATTATATTATGCAGATACTGTATCTATAAATATCTATTGATTTGCACTAATTTTATATGGTTTATTATACCTTAAGTTGCTCTGTCCTCATTGTTTTCGTGGTAAAAATATTAAAAATATTTATAGAACCACTTGTAAGTAAAATATTGAGGCCCAGCACTTGCTGAAATAAGCAAGCCGTTAGTATTGTATATACATGTAGGTTTTAGGGTAGAATGAAGATCACATTTTGTTGTTAATTTTTTTGCTTATTTTAATATCAGATTCCTATAATAAAGAAGTCTGAATTTTGTACATATTGAAGGCTGAACTGGTGAGCTCTAAATAGGTAAAATTCACTCCTGAGCAGAAAATTATCACAGTGTTTATGTCTACAAACCATGCTGAAGTACAGGTGGGGGAACTGAATCTTACTTCCAGCTGCCTGCCCGTATGGAGGTGTTTTTCCCCAAGCATACAGAACCCTGGCCAACAGAAACGTGAATTCTGTGGGTGAAGGCTTTGCTGATTCGGTCCCATAAATAACTCAGGATTTGGTGAAATCATCAACTACCTAGTGATGAAATAAATGTTATGACCAGGAATGGCTTCGAAGTGCTATGAAAGGCATGGTTAGCTTCCCATGCAGGTAATCTCCTTGTGTCTTGTGAACGACGGTTAATTTAAGTGGTGCATCTTCTGTAGTGCTTTTAGCTGCGTGCATTTTCTTCTGCCTGAAGAACCCCCAAATATCTTGTACTAAAATATTAGTACCCTTCTACAGTATTTGATGAGTTGTCTGTAAAAGAGTACATGAAGGGTTTCACTTGTGATTGAAGGTACTGGTTGTCTTGCACATTAAACCTGTATATGTAAATTTTGATGCTAATTATTAAGACTATTACAACGAGATTCATAGAAAGGATGAAAATAAATTATTGGAGGTTGCAGTGTGCACTAATGGACTATAGGTTGTTTTCAGCCCGATGCATTGGAGTTATATATTTGTGGTACTAGCAAATGGATGAAGGGTGTTTTCCGCGTTATTTATAAGTCATTACAGAGTCAAACTGTCTCTTACTGGGAACTGTAGTCCTTGTCCTGCTGGGTAGCAGCTGACTGCATTAGAAGTCAAAGGCACACAGTGTCTTGATGGATTGGGCCTTAAGTGTCCCAATAACTCATGGAAGCTTGAGGCCATTCAGTTCTGGATTGAGTTCACTCCCACTTGCAAGCAAGATGATGGATCCGGATTGAGCACTAAAAAAGCCATTTAACTACCTACCCTATAGCATTTAACTACCCTATAGCATCGTCCTCTCCCTTCTGAATAGCGAGTCCCAGCTGTGCTGGGGCTGGGGGGCAGTGGGGGTGGCATTTGGCCAGCAGCACACTTCACAGCAGGGTGGGGAGAAATAAAGCAGCAGGGAGCAGGAGGGAGGGCAGGCTGAGCTGCCTTGCCAGCCCGCGGCAGATTTTAGCCTCCTGCAAGGAAAAATGCAGTGATTGTCAGTGCAAACATATTGCTGGCCTTGCCAGACAGGGTTTAGGAGAGATTAGATTTAGATTAGGGAATGCCCCTGTATGTCGTGTAGTGTACGTCGTGTAGTGTATGTGTGTCCTGTTTGCATCCAATGAGCTAATGTTTCCCTCCCCGGGGATCTGCAGTTTTACTTGCACCTTTTGTGGCCATGCTGCCAGCAGCCCAGTGAACCAGCAGCTCTGGCCAGCTCAGCAGGGTTTCGGGTATTTATACACACAAATAAGAAGGGAGGAGAGGGAGGGAGCACATGTGCACACTGTTTTTTCATCTGGCGGGTTCCTGGGATGACTGCACGGCGCAGAAAGCCACTTGGATGCAGGAGGCTGCACTACAAGTTCAATTGGAGGGAGAATATTCGTGACCAAGCCAACTGACCAAGCTCAATCCTTTTGCTGGGAAGCCCCAGCTGCTAGGTCCCTCCTGAGCAGACACCATGGTACTCGATGCTCCTGCTGGCCATTTCTGAGCTGAGGCTGCAGAAAGCAGGACGTCCCCACAGCTCTCCAAGGGACCGGGCTGTGGTTCTGCATGCTGTACTAGATCCACCTCTCCTGTTCCCTTCTTGCCATCATCAAATACAGGATGGCAGCGACATTTTCCATGACAGTGACTATAGTAATACATTATGTGCAATAGGTACCCACGTTTCTCACTCAGTTTGGCTTGAGCAGTGTCTGTAGCGTGGCTTCCCTGGCTGGGGGCTCATTCTCACTGCATTCCCCAAGGCAAAGGATTACAGAAACTGCACCTGACGTGTGCACCCTGGCTCTTCTTTCTCCTAACTAGGATTAAAAATGCTCCTGCCAAGGGGAGCAGCAAGTCAAGTCGTAGGGATGAATCAGCCCTGTAAGACACTAGCTGACTGAGTCAGGGTTTTTTAAATGTTAAATGGAAAGTGATCTAAATAGAAACCAGAGGATGAGGGCAATCTTGGCTGGTTTACCCTGTGGGGAGAGAGATGAGCTGTGTGAGGCTAACTCCTGAAAAGCTGCCCCTCCTTGGTGAATGACAATGGCGAGAGAGAAACAAAAAGGTGGTCCCAGAGCTCAGACTGGTGAGTGCAGGGAACAAAAGGCCCGGCCACTGACATCTGCTGCCTCTGGCATTTCCCTGCATCTCCCCGCTCTTCAAATGCCTAGTCCCCATTCCCCTGCCGCCCCAGCTCCTGTCCTGCTGCGCTCCCGGGGGACTTGAGGGAGAGGGACGTGGTTAACCACTGAGGGAAGGCAAAAAGCAGCAAGGAGCTTAGTGAATTGAAGATAATGCCACAAACAAATATTGATTAGTGCCAAACTGTCCATTAAACAAGAGAGATCGTTCACCAGGGGAGCCCTGACTGGCTGTCCCCTCCTTCAGAAAGCCATTTCTCAGGGTCCCCAGTCTCCTACGTGCCTCTGCAGCAAGC